TTCTACAATTTTAAGCAAACTTTTGATTTTTTTAAAGTCTATTAGAATTATTCAGTCATCATCAGTTTTAGAATTATTCATTAAATATAAGTAGACATGGCCCGTGGCCCGACCCGCGAACCGTCACCGAACCGGCCCGAACCAGTCCGAACCGGCCTCTTATGGGCCGGTTCGTTGAACCGGGAACCGTAGGCCCGCGGTTCGGTCCCAGTTCATACGCTCTTTGTTTTTGACACATCGGGCCGGGTCGAGTCGCGTCGGGTCATGTTGCTTTTTTGGATTTTTAAGGGCCGTACCGGCCCGAAACCGTTCGAGACCCGCCGGGCTGGTGACCCGGCGGTTCCGAGCCGGTTCTATAAACCGGCACATATTTTTTTTCAGGCCAATTACGGGCCATGATATTGAGGCCCGCCGACTTAGCGGGCCGGACCTGGCTGGGTCGCGGCCCGGCACCTGATCATCTGTAAATATAAGTTACATATTAAATGAATGCTTTAATGGAGCTAATAATTTGAATATCAGAGTATGATCTCGCGTGTTTGACTTTTCATTTATTGTCATCATCGATTAAATTTGTCAAACTAAAAAAAAAAATAAAAAAAATCCAGTATTATATATGCTATATCTTAATAGCAAAATTCTTTTATAAACGGTAGGTGTAAAACCTTGCGTTTAGTTATTATATGTGGAATTTTATGCATCAAATAATTTAGGAGCATATTATATTGACTTGTAACTAGCGGTTTTAATCCATTTTTTTTTATTTTATTTTTATCTGAAAACCTAATTCTGAAAATATTTTAATAAGGAGAATTTTAATTGAATAGCATATATTAATCTTACACTGATGAATGTTATTCTTATTCCATCTTTTATTTTAAATATCGACCACACTTCAATAAAGTCAAATCTACTAATTCAATTTTTACTATTAAACTCTACTAGTAAAATACTCATGTACACATGAGTGTTGAGTTAAGAAATATATGATGAAAGTTATTAATGTCTAATACCAAACCTAACTCCAGAGCAAAAATAATAATACCTCCTATTTTTAATATATGTCGTTTTGAAAAGTTGCACACTAATTAAGAATATTTTTTTGTCAATAATAACTTTATTTAATAAAGATAGATATGAATGTTTTGAGAAAAAGTGAAGAGTGAATATGAAAAGACGTAATGTATTTATTGGCTAAATGAGGGTAATAATGGAAAAATTTGTACAAAAGATCCAAAATGACATTTATTTGGCAAATAGTTGAAAAGGCTAGAATGACATTTAAAAAAAATAGGAGGGAGTATAAAAACAACATCACGAATCATAGATTTTCGTCATGCCAGCATCCGAAGCGTGAAAAGCTGACACTTAAGTTCAACACGTTTTGAATTAATATATATAGAGAGATTATTGCATAACAACAAGACCCCCATTCTAGTTAGTTGTAACCCAAATTATATTTATTTATATTAATTGAGGGTATAAATAACTGTCATTAGATGAATTTCATACCTATATATTGAATTTTTAGACAATTCTATTGTGAAAAAAATTAAATCAACACGTGTAATTTGAACTTTTAAGTAAACTCAACCATACATAATTGTTAACATTGCCTAATCTGAACTTGGTGACTAAATTAGTCCTAATTCGGACATAATTTTTAACATTTCATTTTTTTCAATTTTTTTTTTATTTTTTTGGGATAAAAAAAAAATATTGACAATGACATCATCATGCTGAGACTAAAAGAAAATTTGACATTGAGGTCACTTAATTCTATTATTTCATTATTTGTGAAACTCTTTTTTTTTTTTTTTACCTTTTATAAGTTGAATTACCGTATGTTAAAAGGTAAGAATTTTTTGTATGTACTATTTTAGTATGTTTTTAAGTGTGTGTTCACTAGTGATGGCAATGGGGAATTCCCCATCGGGTATTGACTCCCCATCCCTATCCCCGTGAGAGAATTTTCTCCCTATGGGATCCCCATTTATGCTTTCGGGGAGGATTTTCTCCCCATCCCCATTACCCGCGGGGATAAATCCCCATCGGGGATCCCCATACCCGCTAATTGTTATTAATATGTATTTTATTTATACTATGTAGGTGGCATAACATCACATTATATGATTTCAATTTATCACATTACATACATAATATGATAATATGTTTACATATTTAATATATTCTCATGTAATTACATCATCATTCATGTGTATGTATAAATATATTGGAATAACTAGCATGTATACTAGCTTAACGGGTCCCCGCGGGTAAACGGGGACGGGGATTGGTTCCCCATCCCCATACCCGTTTACCCGTCGGGGATGATTTTCTCCCCATTAGCACCCCCATGGGGGAAGATTTCATCCCATCCCCATCCCCTAATAGAGGAATTCCCCACGGGTAATCGGGGATCGGGTCCCCATTGCCATCCCTAGTGTTCACCTACTTTTATTGCATAAAGTTAAGTATGGTTCAACAAGAATTTCAAGGAATTTCGTTATAGGCCTATAGAAAATAGAAAGTTTTAGCGTATCATTAGTTGAAATTAACTTCGCAAATCTTTTTATGCTAATTATGAGAAGAAATTAAATGCGTGCTCGATTCTTTGAATTTATAAACTCGTGCATAATAAATAAGAAACCTCATTTAAATATTAAATACTACTAACTAGTAGATATCGATGTACATAAAATATTATAAATAATACTTGAAAATTTAATATTAAAATTTTAGATAATGAACATATTAAATTTTCAAAAATTTGATCATTAGGAAAAATAAATTAACGATTTTATTATTATCAACAATTGTTTATTGACATTAGATAATAACAGTTTATTATTATTATTATTGTTATTATTATTATTATTATTATTATTATTATTATTATTATTATTATTATTATTATTATTATTATTATTAA